CAATTTAATGATAGAACTGAGTTAATATGAACAAGTATTTGTATAGTTTATTATCTTTGAATCTATTCTATTTATTTATTTGATACTGTGACCCTATCTGATATGTGGGATATTTTACTTATGTGTGCTAAAATGCATTAAATAATAATTTATCTATTAAGGTTATCTATAATCTTCAAAATAAATCAGTTTCTATTTAGATAATGGAATTGAAGATGAAAATAAAGAAATACATAAATTTAACGTTGAATATTTTTTCTTAGAATAGATAGATTGTGTCTAGTAGAAGAGTACAGGCCCCTAAACACCTTGGTACAGCCGAAAGTGGACAGAGTCATCTCTCTCTCTTTTTCGAAAAGCTCTCGTATGGCCATATGAATACAACCACTACCAGGGAATTCCTATCCACTGCCTTCTCGTGGTGGGTGTGTTGTTTATGAAATCCAGAAGACGAAAAGTAAATATCCGGTGCTTTAAACGGGTTGATGGATACGGAGGATCTACCTAGGAGAGTTGGAATATCCTGAGTCCAAACCAATGGTTCATATGGGTTCCAGTATGCTGAAGGAACAAATGACGTATGAACCTATTATTCGTCACCAGCTAACAATGGACTGCATCACCTTACGTTGCTCCACTGCCTTGTGGATTAGACATTTAGATCAAAGGCTCGAGAAGTTACCCCGTAAGAAAACCACCTGCTTTGGTTTGGGCAACCGAGCAATATCCAAGCCCTGACGCATATCGAAATTATTTATGTGGCGCATATCCATTTGGTGCCTTCTTGTACCAATGTTCATTTGTTTAAATAAATAAATAAATAAATAGTTGTGTAGGACGTAAGTTCTATTGCATTAGGAATGCATTAGCTGGATGTATATAGATCCTAGTGTTGATAAGACGATTCACATCTTGTACTTTACTGCTAGCCACAATCAATCTATGCATAAAAAAACTTGCAACAAAACCACTGTATCTAAGCAAGATGAACATATGTTGACAAAGACTGATTAAAATTTAATCTCGATTATTAACAATGGGATAATTCAATGATGATATGAAATACTTTTATAAACACACCAAGGGAATTTTTTTGCACTGCAAAGCAGTTGAGGGACTTTATTTCGTATTTAATATTAGACATCATTTCTTAATGTTTAACTAAAACGTCACTAGTTATTTAAACTGCTGTATGCACAAGTGTGTTTATTTCAAGGATATATGTATCATCAAAACGCTCATATCTGTAATTCAAAAGTACATTCTATGCTAAATATTGAGTAAACAATCACCTATTTTTATAAAGCATTAGTCGTCAGAATTTTCATAAACAGATTCAATGAAGATTGTAATTGTGAACACTGTGTAAGGTTAATAATCCTTTTTTAAATCTCCAATCAATGTGAAATACCTATTGTTTTAGGGGGTAATTGTTGTATAAAGCAGCATGAATTTCCCTGACTAAAGATTTCATTTTAATCTATGCTGATTCAGTGGTCTAGAGTTTAAGCGTTAGCGCATATGACCAATAGGACCTGGGTTCGAATCCCGCATGTGGGATCGTAGATGCCCACTGTTCACGATTCCAATACTAGGATGAAATGGCCATCTAGTCTTCCCATGTTTTCCATGGTGGTCTAGCTTCAATTGACTGATGAATCAAACTATTAAGCTATCTACATATGGTTTCTTTAAATACCTCGTCGTAGTACGCTCGAAATTGCCCTTTGATAGCAACAAATGAAGTGAAAATGAAGTGGATTTGAAATGAAATTCTCAACGAAAATAATGCGCTCACTTACTAAATGATCTCTTTAAAAATGTATATTGAACATGGAAAACAGATGAACTACAAATTCACGGACACGTAATCTAGCTAATAAACTACATTTACAGAGATAATGAAACTTTTTTCAAGCCTATTTACTACCAAATTTGTTGATGATATAATTTATGGATGACCTTTGGGCGACAGTAGAGTGACCTTGAGAGTGTCCACCTAATAACTAGAACCAAATAAGGGTTATGAACCAATGTGAGGGATTAGGATTATGATTTAAAATTGATGCATAAGGTTGGGAATTAGATTTGGGGTTTTCATCACGAACTGACATCAGCCATAATGCCAAAACTCTATTTAGCCAAATTGATGAATGAATTTCGAGCCAAAATCCGAGATCTGTCATGTTATACCTGATTGGTTCGTTATTGTAAGGGGGTAACGAATGAATAAGAAAGGAAATGTAGATGTATACTAACCATTTTCAATTCATTTCTATTTGATTTAATTTACTTGATCATGAAGGGTCGATAAACGTGTGGCATTTGTTACTGAACATAAAAGTGAATGTTACAACTTATTTCTTAAACTTCTTCACGAACGTCGAGACCTATTTTTGTTTAGAGCGATTACTCCATTTGATAAATTTCGATAGTGTAATAAAAAGATCAAGATTATCAGAACTATTTGATGATATATTAGCAAAAACAAATAAAATCAAATGATTCAAACACATAATTGAAACAGATCGTAACAATGATCTAATGGTGTTGTACAAAAGTGTAAAAGGGCGTACGCCAAAGTTTATTGAAGCCTTGGCCATATGAAAATTCCAACCCACCTTTGTGTATTCAAAAACAGTTTGTTCTCACCTTAAACCTATTCTGGTAATATTAACTTACTATCCAGAATGATTAGGTTCAGATTGTTTTCACATTATTATTTCCTTTATTATCCTTATCTCCTCTTACCCTTCATTTCTAGTGATCAAATTGTTCGAAATGTATTACGGTAATATATCATCATATAGTTCTGATAATCTTCATCTTCTTATTACAATATTTTTGTTTAATGATGAGATAAGTTGTAGATTACTAACTAGTTTCTTACTATCAATTACTATCGAATATATCTATTATTTTATCAGAGATTATCACTAAAGTATACATTCTATACAATCTATTTGAATTGATATCAGAAGGCGTTTTTGTGAATATTATAGTAGTTTCAATAGTTGAGATTATGAGTCAGTTGAAACTAGACTCATCACCTTAACTAATGAAATTACTACAATATCCACAAAAACCGCTTTCTGATATTGATCAACATATGCTCATTAATGACTGGCTTCAAGAGGTATTTCCTGGAGTTCTAGTGAGAAGCAGTGATTAGTGGAGTTCAACCAGATCTGTTGTGAAGTAGTAACTCACTGAAGACAATGGTGGATGTGTCGCTCGATTTCATGGATTAGTTTAACTTAAATATTAATACTGTTGGATGCCGGCTCAGCCGTCTAGAGGTTAAGCGTTCACGTGCGAGACCGATAGGTCCTGGGTCCAAATCCCATGTGCGGGATTGTGGGTGCGTACTACTCACGAATTCCATACTAGAACAGAATGACTGTCTAGTACTTCCAGGTTTTCCATGATGGTCTAGCTATTTGAATTTGTTATGAAGTATATTATTCAACTACCATTTTTGATGTTAAATATCTCAGTATCTTGATATCACTAACATTTACCTTGATTAATTAAAGAACTAAATGAAGATAGTAGTAAATCTGTTTATGTTATAGAAGGAAAAAGATGGGCTTGTCGTTAATAAATTTGGAAATAAAAAGTACCATGTTAAGAAATTGACATCAGTTACATAGGCAATAGCAAGATGTTCGTAACCAATATTATGTCATACCGTATAGATCTTAAATAACACTCAGTTTAGTTCTATGATTTTAGTTTAAATCTATATTTCTAAGTTAGTTAAGAATATAAGATCTTTAGTTACAATGTTTATAATAAATAATGGGTACCTAACAAATGGTTCTATTATAATTTCTAATTTAATCACCTATGCTTTTAACATTATTTAGTATGAACATCTTTCATACATGTAAATGTTTAATTACTTATAAAGGGATAAATGAAAATATGAATCTTATAATGGTTCTACTCAGTAGATCTTTGGTTGTCTTTTTTTTATAGTTTCAATTCGTTTCTTTAAGGGGTTAAAATGTGATCTCTTTTTTGTGAAAAGTGGGAATGATGTAGTTTTTTTACTAATACTACTGTTTACTGAAATAATCTCTAAGTAATTATTTTTTGGGGGGTGATGTGGGGTGGGGTGGGGTGGGGTTAAACATGAATTTTGAATTTATTTTCAATATTTCACTGAAAAATATAAATTTTTTAGAGATGAATAAAAAAGGTGGTGGTGGGGGGTGTTGGAAGAACAGATCTATTTCAGTCTTTACATTGACAATATGAAAAAGGCTGTTCAAAATACTTCCATGTTGTTATATCCTGACAAGAATAATGAATGGTAACTTTTGGGATCTATTGATAGACCAATACTAAACGTATATTTCTATTGTATAGTTGTTAAGTAACTAAACTATGCATATTCATATTACTCTTAATATAAGCTTTATTTTGACCCATAAACTATTATTATACGTTTTACCATTCTTGAGTTATACCCAGTAATATTAATTACTACCTCCCTCATTCACAGCCACATCTGGCTAATCCTTGTACAAATGTTGTTTCATATTTTATTGGCACGTTGTGGTCTGTTTGATTAGTATATAAACTCAGTATGTTTGAAATATACTGATTCATATCGTAGAGGCTGAGACTTGTGTTTTAAACTTAACTGGCTGGGCTAAGTGGAAAGCAGCGCCAATCAGAACTCTAGACTGCTCATACAGGTTTACGCGTCATTGATCCGATTGATAAGCACTGCTGTCTTATCGGCGGTCACAAGTTATAACACATGTATTCAGTGGTCGTCTAGCTTACATTGACTCATGAATACAACTATTAAAAACGTGAAGAAAAAAACAATATTCCCTATTTTTAAATACTTCACTCGATCCATAGTAATTCATTATTACCATTGTTTTCAATATTCTTGAAACTTTCAAATACCATAAAATGTTGATTTTACTACATTAATTTTTTCTTAGATTTCAAACCATACCGAATAACTTGTGATAACTTACCTAAATGTATATTCCCGTTCTTCGAATCAGCTGTCCTCTAGAATATAACAGTATGAATATCATATAAATATATAAAGCTTTATTTATTAACCAATCAAAATTCTCGGTTAAATATTATCATAAATTTCATTTTATAAACAATTTGACGAAACAAAAGGATTGTGATGTATGCTACTTATGTCTGTCAATATAAGTAGCATGTAACACCAATCAGATCTAAAATGCTTGGCAACAAAAGGTTAAGAAGATGAAATTGAATAAAACAGAAAGAGAAGTAGAAAGAAATTGTTAATTGAAAGAATCATGTAGAATGTAAAAGACAATTGATAGAAGGTTTGCAAATAGAGCATTGAATGTATGGTTCTTATATTTTACGAAGATATTCTGTAATTTTATTTTAAACAATGAAGTGGATGCTCGTACCTGAGTTTTCATTTACTACAGGTTCTCCACATTCTTATTATGCCTTCGAGTTAAAGCAATGTAGAAAATAGAAGAAAAATGGAAAGTGACGAAGCAATGGAATAAGACGATGAGGAGGGAGGAAGGGAAAAGAGTAAACTGTGAAAATGAAGATGACGGAAGAGAAGAAAGGAAAGGAATGAAGAGAAAAATAAAGGAAAAAGAAATAGAGGAAGTAGGTGAAATAGAAATAAAGAGGGAGGAAAGAGTTAGAAATCTTGGAAAAAGAAGGAAAAGAGAAAGGGCAGACAGATATATGTCATCTCATAGAACCGTTCAGAGATTTAGGGTATCTAAATTAGCCATGGCACATTAACATGACAAGATGAAAAATACGATGAATAACAAACGAGATTGAAATAATGTCGTAACACCCATAATGAGAAAGACTGATCATTGAAAATATGATTCAAAGAGATATGGTAAGAATATATAAATAAAGGAAGACTGCAACGTAAGATCTAAGGAAGAATAAGTAGCAAATACATCTGCACCACTGTGGCCAATTCTGCGTTTCAAATTATTGATTTAAACATACGTAACATATCCTAATCACGTCAGTCGATAAAAATTTAAAATCTCATCGATCGACCGGATATCTCGGCCTCGTGCCCTATACCAATTCTCGACATCGACTGCTCATAAGGTTGTTACACGATATTTGAGCTATGCTTCGAAGACACCTATAAAGAAGAATAAATAGAAAAGCAAAGAAAATGTTGAGACATTTTCCTTTAAAACTATGTACAGATGAATTGAAATTTAGAACATTACTCCAACTATTCACTGAGTAGTTTGACCAGAGCTTCTGCAGTGAAATAATCAAAAATCATAATTATTAAATATGAGTTGGGCTACAAGACAAGTAACTGATTTCAACAGTTGAGATCATGAGTCAATTGAAGCTAGAACACCATGGAAAACCTGGAAGCACTGGACGACTGTTTCGTCCTATTTTGGGACTCCTCAGCAGTGCGCATCCAATGGATGCGTGTTCTAGCTTCAATTGACTTATGATCACAGCTATTGAAATTACTACAATCTCCACAAAACCCCTTCTGATACTAATTAACTGATAATCAAGCCATGTTGCAATATTGAATGTACACATCAGTGAAGTATGAATATGAGTCATTTAATCTGAAATGTGTTTGAATTCAAGTACATGAAGAAGTATACATACTTTTTGTAGTTCTTATGCCTCTAAGGAATGTTTGGGAATAAAATTGATAGCCCTAAAACAAAATTTGTCAGAGAAGGTATTGATTACAATAAAATCAACAGATTTAAAAGTGCCCGGTCATTTAGAACCAGTATAACTCAAAAATAATAATCTAAATAAGTGGCAACAGTTAAGACAAATACATCCTACTAAATAGCATCGAATGACTTTCGGTCTAATAATGTTGCATAAAAGCATCCAGTAGAATCCAATGTGACAAGTCCATCCTAATCCTAACTTACCAGTTGCATATACCTACATCACAGTGTTGACATTCATGTTGAGAGTTGAACTCAAAATCTTTTGTCAAGCAAATCATCTACTGGGCTAATTAGCCCAGATAACCGCTAGCACTTATACAAAGACTGTGGATTTTTTTGTAAAATTTTGTATTTTCCTACTGTTGATTTTACGGACTTCATTCGATTGATCTCAATTGAACGTTATACTGTCTAGTCACATGTTTTTCTTGCATTTTTGGACTGAGGCTAGAAAGGAATCTAGAACCAATGTTTCGTTTTGTTCTGAACTTATTAGCTGGTGACAAAATTTGTGGTAAGAGGATATAACTGGTTCATATTTGCTAGGAACAATTAATGGAGATTCAAAAAATTTATTGGTTGAACCACTGACTTCACTATTTTTCTCCTTTTTATGTTATACTACTTAATACTTTTCAGTAGTTTATATTATTTTTGAGTATATTTGGAACATTGTAACGGTGCATTCCCTCAAGTTACTGTGGGATGTGGTGCTTCATCCGATGGTGTATTCCATTCTGTTTAAAGTGTGGGATATTTGCTTGAATATAAAACATTTTAAACATAAACATGACTGGGGTAAAGTTTTCATCAGTTGAGGGAAATTTCGACTTCTGAATGGACCACTCTCTATTACAATTTGATTGGAATCAACTAGTATCATTAATCACATGTTCTTATCAGTAGTTATATTTTGCTCTTAGTAATGGATTCAAGCTGAAAAGTCACATATTCAACGAAAATGTCACTTATCTGACCAATTTCTGAAACTAATATGAATATGATACGGTGATGAAATATTGTAATGTAGATCACCAACGTAGATGATCTATGTCGGATAATCGGAGGCCTACTCGAGTTAGACGGTAGTGGTGTGAAGAACCAGCTAACGTCGAAGTCACACCTCGTAGTCAGCACCTTACGTGGACTACTCCACTAACGTATCAAGTTGCTATAGATGCTTTGAAGACTGTACAACACAGAGGATGTTATTACAGAAATGTATTAGTTAAAGTAGATACAAGCGAAAGTAAGACCACCACCGCATGGGCGAGTCCATGGCGTACGATTAACTGGTGCGCGTCGGTTGTCCTTGACCTTGACGAGCATCGATGATTTGCTCGATATTCAATGACCCGACTGCCGGGTGATTTGGCTAGGGCTCAGTAACATTTCGCTGGCCCTACAGTAACTTCCAAGTATACAATGACATGAAAGTGAAATTATGGCGTTTCCGAGTTGAAGGTATTTCTTTAAGGCTAGAACTAGAGAGAATAGAAGTGGCTTGTAAACCCTATGTGTTTTTTGTCTAAACGTGCACATACTAAGATTGTGATGAAATGCCTATTTATTTAATTTATTTGTCTCCGTTTACTTGCATTCGATGCGACTTATTCAAAATGACAACCTACCGACTTGCTTATTGTGGTGTTTGAATTAACTAATGATTCTTTTGTACTTGTTGAATGCTTGATTTCGAATTCTAAATACAATACATTCGTTTGTGCTCATCTAGTACTTCTTGATTCAACTGCGTTATTTCTGGGATTCATAGTTCATACTACAATTCAAATAATTCGAAATACCAAACTTACGCCTGTTGCCCCTAGTGGATGAGCATAAGCCACCTAATGGGGTACTCCATCTGACTCTGTGCCTAACAATCCCTTCCAGTTGTTTTCAGTTGCTATTCATCCCCTTCATATCTACTTCCAATTCTCGACTTAATGTGTTACTTAGTCTTCCTCTTTTTCGTTTCCCCCCAGGATTCCGAGTTAACGCTTGCCTCATGATGCAGTTTGATGATTTCCTCGATGTGTGTCCCATCCACCTCCAATGTCTTTTACTAATTCCCTCATCAGCTGGAAGCTTGTTTGTTATCTCTCACAGTAGACTGTTGCTGATGGTATCTGGTCGATGGATGTTGAGTATCTTGAGTAGATAACTGTTTATAAATACTTGTAACCTTTCAATGATCGTTGTGGTAGTTCTCCAAGTTTCAGCTCCATACAGTAGAACTGTATTGACGTTCGTATTGAAGATTGTGACTTTGATATTGGTTGAAAGTTGTGTTGAGTTTCATATGTCCTTCAACTGTAGGAATGCGGCCATTGCTCTACCAATCCTTGCCTTTACGTTCGCATCCGATCATCCTTGTTCATCGATGATGCTTTCCAGGTAGGTGAAGGATCCTACGTCTTCCAAAGTTTCTCCATCAAGTGTAATTGCGTTGGTGTTCTGTGTGCTGTATTTGATGGTCTTGCTTTTTCCTTTGTATATGTTGGGGCCTACTGATGTAGAGCCTTTTGTCACGCTGTTTGTCTTCACCTGCATTTGTTGCTGTGTAAGGGGTAGAACGTCAGGCCAAGTCACCTGTGAAGTGCAAATCGTAAAGTTGCATCCAAACAGTCCAGTTCATTCCATTCATTCCCTGAGATGGCGAGGATTTTATAATTCAGGGTGAGAGTAAGCAAACTTGTCTAACTCCGGTCCTCGCTTGGAATGTGTCTGTGGGCTGTCCTCCTTGCACGACATTGCAGTGTATTCCGTCTCACGAATTCCCTATGATGTTGAAAATCTTCTCAGGTACACCATAGCGTCGAAAAATGCTGTATAAAATCCTTCAATTCACACTGTTTAACGCTTTCTCATAGTCAAGGAAGTTGGTGTATACTGACAAGTTTCATTCAACCGATTGCTGGAAGATGATCCGTAGTTTCGTGATTTGGTTTGTTCATGGTCGATCTTTATGGAATCCGGCCTGTTGATCCCCATGTTGTGCGTCTACTGAATCTTACATTCCGTTCAACAATACCTTATTGCAAACTTTTCGTGGTAATGATCGTAGCGCGATGCCCCTGTAATTTTCACACTTGCCCATATATCATTTCTTCGATATTTTGACGAGGTATCCTTCTTTACAGTCCGTCAGTATTTGTTCTTCCTCAAGAATCTTTCCGAATAGAGCGTGGAACATCTTCGCAGCTACTTCGATATCTGACTTCCGTTCTTCAGTTAGTTAAATTTCCGACCTTTTTGTTTTCTCACTTTTGACTTGTCTGGTGGCCATGTCAATCTATTCGACCGTTGGTGGGGTGGAAGCCCTAATTAGATCTGTAGGTGCTGCTTTGGTGTACAGTGGATTTAATGAAACTGACCTATCTAACAGTTCTTAAAATGCTCTACCTACCTATTTCGCCGCTCTCAATTCACAGTCATCTTTGTTCTTGAATGGTCACCCCTTCAGCATACATCTTTGCTAGGTTCTCGTTTTATCATAGAGTTGTTTCATATTCATTCCTCTTGCAGTTTTTTAGGCTATCGTTGCTACCTCTTCCATATGTTTTTGCCTGTCAGCTCTAATGCCTGTCTTCACTCTCTGGTTTGATTCTGCTTGTTCAGTTTGTGCATTAATTTTCTCTGTCCTTATTCGACTGTTATTGAGTGCTGTCTTCTTGTCCTTGTTTACAAGAGTCTTGTCCAGGGTTCTCATAGAGACCCATTCCTTATGATGCTGGTGCTCACAACCTCTTAGCATGCTGAAAATAGTGGTTCTTTCATCCCTTTACATTCGTCCTCCTTAGTAGTTTCTTCTCCTTTCAGTAGATCCTGTCAGCTCCTCTCCTGATTCTCATGTCTTCAATCTGATCTTGATGGAGTTTTGTTCTCTGAACTGGATGGTTTAGTCGTGAAGCTTTCGTCGTTATTTTGGACGACATCATCAGCACAAAATTCAGGGAGAGGTGAGTTGTTCGAATTTCTCCATATGTGGTTCACAGCTTGTCCTGTACACCTTGAGGATGATTGGTTGTAGTTGACCTTAGACCTATCATTGTTTACTTCTTTGTTTTGGTTGTATCTCCCACTGGCTTGACTTCTGTTCCTATGCTTGTGCACAATTTTCCTGATTGGTTGATAACTTCGATCGATTTCAATTGCTGATTGATTTAAAAGCCAAGCTTCTAAAAATTTTCTGGTGTTTTTGGAATTGCCTCCATCCAATATCTCTACATTTTTTTCAGTCGAATATGTATACACAGTTGTCCACGTGCATTGATATAAGTGAGGACATGTTATAGCGTTTTAATGCTAATTGATGCTCATGCAGGCGAAGACGAAGCGAGCATCCGTTTTGTCCGATGTAGTGTTTTTCGCAGTTGGCACACTGTATTTTGTAGATGATGTTTGATTTGTCTTCCTTTGTTATTTCATCCTTTGGTTCGCATAGGATTGATTAATATGCCTTTTATGTATGGTAGGGTTATCTTTTTGTTGATTTCTGTGCTTGACTTAGTTTCTGATGATGCATGCAGCGGATGTTTTTTGATGAAGTTGATTAGGTAGCACGGGCATGAAATTAGTCACTCAATTGACTACAACCTAACCAAAAGAATTTAATTAGTGTCTTTGACATTTGTGGAAGCCCATTTTTCAATGATGCAATCAGTAACCTTTGATTTCTAGGTCTAAATGATTAAGTTCGCGCTGAAGTCATTGCTAGTACTCAAGGATATTCGTTTTCAAGGACTTCACTGATTCCCCTGCAGAGTGTGGAACGGAATACATTATTAGACTTCACATGAATTGATTAGCTAATTCATGTTCCAGATACTTGGCAGGCACTGGTGCATTAGCTTTGCTTATGCTATAGCCCAATCATTTCTGAGGTGTATTTTAACATACACTAGTTTGTCTTGAAGGATCATCTTGACTAAGTATGATAATTGGAAGTGCTTAAAATGATTATCTTACTAGTAGCTCCCGAAATATCGCAGTCTGAGGCAGGTAGACTTTTCGTGAGTACCTAGTTAATCGATAGTATGTAACATCGAAAGACTGTATACGTTTATTAATTACACAACCGTCTTCTAGTTTAAACAATTTCATCATTGTTTAATTTGCTTACGGTCTGGTAATTCTACACTGAAAGACTTTATCTACTTTTACCTGCGGGTCCTTGAATTTTGTAACGGTTATAAAATTGGTGTTTGTTTTGAGGGACTAGAAATGTTATGTTTGAGCATCAGAATGAGTGGGCTCTGGAGTCGTGATTAATTCTTCTCAAGTCCATCTCGTGGTTGACGCGTTGTCGAGCATTCCAGTAGAACCGTTTTCAGTGGTCGATAGGGAAAGCTATCCCCGAAACATTCTCAAATTTTCTAGACCCAGGATAAATAGTCGGCAATCAATGATGAGGATTTGACAAATTAAGACTAAAGATTTATCGTCTCTAATAAGCAAATCACAACACTCGAGAATAGGAAGTTTATGACTTGTGATATTCTAGACGGGAACTTTAATAAGTTTAATTATAGCGTTGAGACTTAATGACTTCAGCTTCCCAACTGAAGTGATGGACATTATTCTGGCACTGTCAACAATAATGTCATGAAAATCACCACCGGATGAATACAATCAGTTTCGAATACGATGTGATTTACTCAGTGTTGTGGATAAGGTTAGTATCTGATTGCTATAATAACAGTGTTTAGTATTACTTGCGATGCAATGAACAATGGTTTCACAAACTGACTTGATGAGTCTCACTTTGACACACTTGAGGCATTCAGCATGACGAAAGATACATGAATCACATGAATGAAATTTACCACAGGCTAAGCATTTACCGTTCATGTGCTCGCCTATATACCCTGATTTGCTAAGTATTAGAAGTGGTCACTGACTGAAAATCAAGGATTGGAGATTGATCGTCTCTAATCAGCAAATTACAGCACTTGTGAATAAGAAATAAAGGACCCGTCAAACTGGAAATCGAAATTCGTTAGATTTAATGATGGCATGAGGTAATAATAACTTCACATTTTCAACTGAACTGACAGATACCTATCAGAATTGGGGTTTGTGGAGAATTTAGTAGTAGTCGTTGAATTCATGAATTGATCTAAGCTAGACCACCATTGAAAATCCGAAAGCTCTGGAACGTTTAGAGTAAGACTATATCCTCAAAGTTCTATAAATCTCAACGATTAAAATAGGTTATTTCATATGTAGTCATTACTCCTGGAACTGAGAGTTAATTGTATACTGTATGTGAACGCGGGTCTTCAGATTTATCGGAATGGCGCCTTATAGGAGGAGTAAAAAGCCGCCACCCGAAGGATGGGAGTTGATCGAGCCAACAATCGAAGAATTGAACAGGAAGATGCGTGAGGCTGAAACTGACCCTCATGAGGGAAAACGTAAGGTTGAGGCTGAATGGCCAATATTTCGCATTCATCATAAGAGGTCTCGGTTCATTTATGACTTGTATTATAAACGAAAAGCTATTTCTAAAGTAGGTCATACCCATTATCTTCGTAATAAATTCAGGAGCTGTATGAATTCTGCATCAAAGAGAAGATAGCCGATGCAAATCTGATCGCCAAATGGAAAAAGCAAGGATACGAAAACTTATGTTGTTTAAGGTGCATCCAATCTAGAGATACAAATTTTGGAACTAATTGCGTATGTCGAGTACCAAAGTCAAAGTTAGAAGAAGGTAAAGTTGTTGAGTGTCAAAGTTGCGGTTGCCGTGGCTGCTCTGGCTAATCAATGAGTCTGCATGTACGTACAACTTAACGTATTTGAATTTTGGTGTTAACTATTCACTTGGTTCTGTGTATATATATTCAAAACATAACTGGCTTTCCTACATCAGCTCACTCTTCAATATGTGGACAGTATTTTTACACGGTTTCCTACCTGATAATAGATATATCAAATGAAGTCATTTAACGATATACAGTCTATCTTTTTTGAAGTTTGCTTACTATTCCCATTTGGTTTGTTAACTTATGGTTTGCTCTCAATGTATGTAATAAGTTCACATTGTTGCATTAAAAACAGGGTATAACGTCAGTTTTCTAATTTTTCAACTTCTAATATTGAAGGCAGTTGGCTAACGTCAAATTCCTTCAGTAGTCCATCTAAAATGCCTAGTCATCATATGTTACGTATTGCATATTTTGTTTGGGTGTTTTACTTACTATTTGAACTGCATAGACCTACGTTATAAGTTGTTATACATGTAGTCCTAGCATATTATTGGTCTCGAACTTTGAATTAAACCGGTGAGATTCTCGATCACTGGCTTGAAGGGTTGTTGGGATATCTAAGTGAACTCATAATCGTATAACTCTTCTTTATATCCATTTGTAGCTCATAGATCAGATTCGTAAGCGAGTTATCCGTCGGGTCGCCTCAATCAATTCAGTGTCTAGTTAATCATTCTCACTTCTGTAACGAAATCGACATAATTTATTATAATGTTTCGTAACTAGCAAGTTTTGGGTCATTAAAATCCCTGCCGTGTGGTAGCAAAATTGTATACTTTGTCCTCATTCGAAACCGACATATTTTTTTGAATATGAATATTTTCAACTACCATTAAAAAACGTTCCTGTATTATGATTTCAAATGGTCATACTGTTTACTTATCAGCAGGCTTAAATCTCTAGTTCTCAATTAAAATGCTTTCGCCAATCAATCGTGAGGAAGCTTATACACTATCCCACTATTTATGCATAACAATTTCAGTTTGTGTTTGATTTACAACATAATTCTTGATTGATAATCTATTTATTCAAAATGGCCTCTAAACTAGAAAGCGTTGGGTATCGAAAGTTCATCTATTTTCATAATCGCACTTCAAAAACACTAGTAGTCAGAGACAGGTTTCATAACTACCGCAGCATTGTTCAATCTACTGTCATATTCTCTCATCCTTTGACTGTTAGTTACATCTCACTGTTGACAAATTTGTTTCCTTTATTTGTATCGAAATTTCCTCAGCTACTGAAACTCCAAAATGGATATTTATGAAGAAATATAACAAAACTTAACTGGTTGTTTCATACTCTTGTCCATTGGTCTTTTTCGGGAGACGCGATTTTTCTCTGCAAACAGAAAAATTAATTCTATACCAAGATAATGAAGATACGTGGATTACCTCTAGTATCAAGATCTTAAATGTACTACCCATTATTCCTGTTCTAACTGCCTTAGGTAACTGCTTGTAACCTGCATAGTAGTTCTGCGTAATTGATTTATCTTTGTACTATAAACCAATTATATTTAGATTTTCGGATATGATCCCAATCTTTTCTTATGACTTTACATCCACGACCTGTTGAGAAACCAGCCTGCTCCTCACTAGTCAGTCATAGGTTTTAGATAATCTGCGGAGCATGATGGTAGCCAATTATTCGGAAGTATTCTTATCCCCTTATACCTGTCACATTGATGACTGGAGCCCTTTTTATAGATGAGAATGACAATCGCCTTATTCTATGTTGCTGAAACGCTTTCTCCCCGAACAACTCAGTTTTCGGTCTAGAAGTTTTCCAGTATCCTTAGCAAGAGCTAAGCGTTAGGTTATCTGGGCCTTGTGACTGGGCTTTGCAAGTTGAAGTTCCCATTGACGGGCCAGTGATCACTGGCCAGAAAAAACATGGCAATCTGGTGGACGCTTTAGAGACGACAGAGCTGAAATCTCTCACAAGGTTCCTTTGAACGTTACGAAATCCCTTTGATGGATTAGTATCTCAACATGGATAAAAAATTTCCTTCGGTTTTACAAACTATCGTCATTTGTGTTGTTTGAGAGATAACCGTCGGGTGTTTAAAAAAAAATAAAATCACAGGTTCAGTTTTTGATTACTTTATGTTTGTGAAATATAAAATAGAAGTCATGCGTAATATACCGTTTTTTTGATCAACTGTGTCTTCGAGACTTTGGTCGTGTATCACTGAATAGCGTAGTAAATAATTCTGTCGTTAGGTGTGGGGTACTAGGCAGTTGTTGTGAATTAGTTGGAGGCTGTGAATTCTGATCAACTGAGATGTGTTATATATGACCAACCACCGCCTACACCGGTTTGGAATGTTGGCTGGTTAATGTATAGAGGTGCCTCAAAAAAGATATGGTATCAAACTATGAAGTTATTAAAATTGTACCTGATCCGTACTGAAGGATGCGGACTACCTGGTCGAGTCCAAGTCATCGGTTATTGGAGAAGTTGGATGATATGATTCGGAACCACAGTGGCCCAGATATATCCAATCATTATCTTCCTGTTATAACTGGGGGATTTGATCAAACCACGTCCTTACAGTTGCATTTATCTAGTCGCTCAATTAATATCCAGATATCGATAAGTGTATAATAACACAAATATATTGAATGGGTTGGGCAATCACACCTTACAGTGTCTAGACGTATCACTTCCCTTGAGTTTTGAGCTTCACTATTGATTCATACGTCTTGTCTAATTCTTCCCTTCTCGAGCCGTGTTCCTTATTATTTTGTGACCATCGTTAATACTACTATTATTTTTCTAACTTTTAGTTTAATCTCATTTCGCTGACATGGAATATTGACTTGGGCTGACCGACATTTGTATCAGGCTCAATGTTTTAACTCATCGACAAATATGTAAATGCATTTCGACGTACATAAACTTGATACATTAAGTTACTTATATGTCATCTAGCTGCTGTAGTAACTCCTACTATTGAATTTAATTCTACCAGACAATCTCTAGTTAGTCCCGTAAACCGATTATATTGTCTAGCAAGCTACTTCCCTTTTGGTATTAAATTTGTCACTTACCATCATTTAGCAGTCAATGTATTCTTTCTACCACACTATATGCAACAAAACGATAAACAGCTGTTTGAATCCTACAAGTTAAGCTGTCTACTGAAATAGCTTTCTAACTGTGAACCCTTGCTTACAGTAATTATCGTTCGTACGCACGTTGAAGATTCGATGTTAGAAGATATTCTTTACAACTACTGCAGAAATTTGTTTTAGGGACATCACAAGCAACCTGGTAAATTACTCGCTAAAGTTGGGAATTAAATTTCTTACTTGATAGGGTATTACAATTGTATCATTATTTTAGCATTATAAACAATTGTTAGGAATGCGCAATCTCCGATTACAACTTACGAAAAGCAAATCAATGTCGACTAAGTTTGTATTGCGTTACAGTAAATTATTCAGTGTGAACGCTGTCCATGTAATTTCAAGATATTTATGGTAACGATAATCACTCAGTTTGAATGTGCTAGTCATTTTTGTTGATCTATGACCGACAAACTTAATGCACTTGGATTGATTATACTGGGTTAACATCAAAAAGCTTCAACCAATAAACTGATGCTTTTACTCTATTTAGTGGTGTAAGGAAAATTAGAGGATAGAAGCAATCTTCTTTACAGTCGGAGCAATGAAATTATTAGCACAGTGTACGAACGTATCAAAAATTTACTGAATGTTCACTTCAAATTTTGACAATAAAACTGTTGGAGAGAGGTAATGTTTTGATCATATCAAGATGCATTAATCATATCTATGGACTTGTACAGAGAATTTAACTGCAGAAAGAATGACGTGTAAAGACACCAGGGTGGAAACTAGATCTTACTTGACGTTAAAGGCAAATTTTAAAGAGGAAACTAAGTAAAAGTTTTCATACATTTTGTATGGCCATTATTAAGAATGCTAAATTTACCTAAGTTAAGGTGTTTTGCTACACGTAATTATAATTACGTATGTATTGAGTTCTTTTATATGCCATTAAGAATAAGACCACTAACTTCGTTACTGTATTCATCATACAACCGATAATCCAAAGTAGTCGGAAGTATCTTCTCATTATCTGATCATTATATCAGTAGGATGCAAACCAAAGTGTATCATAAATAATAAATCTACATAAGCACTAGCACGTTTTGCAATAAGGATATTGCAATCTTTCTTTTATATATTACCACCTCTGAATTAACTACTTTTATGAATCCGGTGTCCATCTTGTTGTGTTAATGAGGTATGGCAACTTGGACCGATTCATATATGTGCCTGGTCCTACGTTGTAGCTGACTGACACGTTTTTGAATAAGAATGGGAATGACAAATATTTAGTTAGTAGATATGGAAGCAACTGGTTAGCCAAAAAACACCGCTTAGTTGTTACTGTATTAGCATTTCATTAAATAATTATTCGGTAAACATTCACCAAAGAGCGCGGTTATCCACGTAGTATATTTCTGTTTCCCTGGCCCCATCTTAATAGTATGAAGTAGCTACTACCTTGACGCGGTGGTCGGGCTTGCCTATCGTGATGACCCAACCGAGCTATATTGGCTGGAACATATGTTCCTGTAGGTTCTATCATGCCAGGCAGGTCGATTGGAGAACGGTAAGACTAAAAGCAGCAACTCAAGGTCTGAGGGCGAAGTTGTACTGCTGACTGTAGAGGGGTGTGACAACAGTAAGGTGTTTCCCTCGGACAACCACCATCTACAGCGATGCTGCCTTCTCACAAGGGCTCTGCGGTCACGCTCCCAGGCCGTCAAGGCCGACATTAATCCGAATTCCTTTTCAGGTTCCTCAAGAAATACCCTTCTACAGTGTGGCCAGCCGGGAAGTGACACCAGCCCTCATACCCGTAACTGACTGAAATCAATGAGCGAATAGTTGAATTTTTTAATCGCTGTTATAAGCTTGTGGATAAAATATTACGTAACTAACTGAATACTATGGTCATTTATTAAAGGTCAGGTTGTTTGCATTATAATGAAGGTGAAATATTTCATTTGACTCACAAACCCTTAGTTCTTTATTTCTTCGATTTGTCTATAGATATAGTTAACAACAATTGAGTAAATATTCTCTATATTTCACTTCAATACGACGCCTCATAGCGATTAACTCCAATTTTTCAGGACTTTCGATGAAGTAGGTAAGTAAACAAAGCGTGAAAAACTACAGCTCTTTGTTCTACTTATTTACACTACGTGGAAAATCTATGTACGTAAGAGAATGAGTAAACATAAGATTTAAGTTGTAGATGCTACTCTCCATCGATAAACTGAAAACGTTTTCACTTTTTAACGGAGATGAACTATTTATAGATCACTGATTTATTGCAGCTATAAATTCGTAAATGACCAGATTAAATCCGTCTGTTATTGGGCATCATTTAATGATATATGTATATGAGATACTGTCAAATGTTCTGTTTCGGTGCAATTGATCAGTTGTAAAAATTCATATTCAATATTAAAGGTCCTACATAGGTAGGTACGCATAAAATAATAGATCTTGTAATTTCGCTTAAACGAACTTATTATTCCGAAGAAAATTGAACAATAGAGCTACATTAAAAAAACCCTAATAGGTATTTTAACAAATAGCAACTAACTTAGGGAGAAATCTTAGTTGTATTTATGTTCACAGTAATAATCTTTTGTATCGACACTCTAGAAATCTGAGATAATTTGAAATTTCATGTTGAATGTCTTCTTTTTCTGAATTAGATAAATGTTGATTTGTGTTCATTGTTTGGTAAGCTTTTGATATGATTTGTAATTGTCTGAACAATTCATGTTCCAAGCGATCGTTTCCTGTTAAATAACCGTTTTTCTTGGTATTTTTCCATTTTAAATTTGATATATGCCTCAAATCTGTTGCAGTAGTACAATGTGAGGATTCCGTTGGAATGGATGCATCCAAATCAGTCTGGTTATTTTGGGTCTTCAATATCTAGCAGTACATAAATGAACAATATTTAAGTTCTTCGTTCAATATTTCAATGCTGTTTATTGAATTAAGATGATATCGCTCCTCAAATTTTGATTATGAGTGCATAATTATTTCTGGTAATACGGTAATCAATTATTCACCTAATGTGTCTGTTGAATGTACAATGAGATTTTTGTGTTCGTAATTTTATTCGATTCAGGTACTGAGTTGATAGAAGTAAAAATCACACTCAATTTTATGTTTGCTCAACTTAATATTGATAATTATTTGTTAGGAATTTTACATATATAAAACGGCTCATTATATACAATGATCTCATTTCAAGAAAACCCTCCTCCTAGCTAACATACAGTTGGAGAAAAACTTACTTGTCTTTGCAACTTTTGAAAATTTAAGCTGATATTTTTACCAATTTGTTTTAAATCTCCAGTATCACTCATTGTCATAGTCTTTCTGTTGTTGGTTTTTTCATCATCATCATCATCGCTTATATTTTCTTCTTCAATGTACGAATTCAGAAGTTCTTCAGCTCGATCCAATATCTCTTGAGGAAGTGCAGTAAGCCTGGCCAATTTAATACCTGATTTTATGAAGAAAAAACTTCCAACTGAAGTAACAACATTAGTGATTATTATGTTAATCTCAAATGCATAGAGCTTGACATAACAATCAGTGATTTCCAATGATTAAAAATTCTTTGATTGTGTGTATTTATACATCTAAAACTGACCCAAATTGTTGAATGGTACCCAACCACCAATTATAACTAATTTCCTACGTATTTAAGGGGAAAATCAATTTCACACTGTACGAAACATTGGCTATGAAAGAAATCCAAGAAGCTACTGTTTCTTTTGTAATAGGCAGCATACTTAAAAAAACAAATATTCATAATCTACGTAAGAATAGTTTTGATTAAATTTGAGTGGAGCATGTGGATGAAGACAACGATTGTAGAAGAATTAGGAAGTTGTTCAAACAGATGTTTATCTATAGGCTAAATATATAAATATTCCCGAAGAGAAAACTAAGAACTCGGAAACAGAATTTTTATGAATAAATTATTAGCATCTTAGTTCATGAACGAAATTGACTATCTGAGTAAAATTCAAATGATAAAGTAAGAAATAAGGAATTCTAATTAAGGTCAGGAAAGGATATTACGTAACAAACCCTTGGGATCGAGGCCAATAAGGGGGAGGAAGATTGATAACTGAGTCTTTACTAATATAAATTGTGAATAATTGTCTGATGATTAGTGCCAGTGAATGTAGAAAGTGTATTTAAATAATCTCAAAGATTAAAAGTTAAGTAATTTCAACATTTTGTCTAGCGAACAGGTATATTCTATTTAGCTTGTGGCATTTACTACTATTTCACGCCTACGTAACTGATTGTAACTTTTGGAAAGACCAACTGATCTAATATTTTGGAGTCGTTATATACAAATGCATTCAACCTTTACAATTATTTACTTGTAACCCGGACTTTTTATGAGGATGTAGTGCGTATGTTTTATCATCGCTTCCTCTCTCTGTCTTACATCTTTAGATTGGTTTTTTTGTCTGACTATAAATGTTGAGTCACGTTTAATAAAGTTGTATAGGCTGGGAAGCTTTTCTCCATACCATATCTCCTACAGTCTGTCCAAAGTAAGTTCTTCCGACCCGATTCGTATTTGACTTTTATTACTATTGTTGTCCAACGAAGTTAGCCTAATTAACAAACAGTATACGGCGTTGAACGTAGAATTTATACTCTATGGTTTATTTGTCGTCATTCGTTGCTACCGATTTATATTGAGCGATAAAAGGCACACAAGAAAAGAAGAAAGGCTGTCTACCTACCATACATTATTTTGGGTGATATTCCTTTGTTTAATTTATAAGTAAAAGTGATTTGACCAAGATCCTGACTGGTTGAATCAATGAATTCGGAATGTTTTAGATGTTGATTCATTTTGAATGCATTTGAATAATTTTCATCCGAGAAACTATGAACTAACGGAGATTCTTCAGTGAAACTGCTGTTATTAGCATATGATGTTTCATGAATACTTCGATTTGATGTACCTATATTATGATGTCCATGATAAATATTTAAAACTTCTTCTTGTACTGAAAAATAATAACTAAAATAAGAGTAGATAAATGAAATAATCATCTGAAAACAATAAAACTAGAATATAAGTTAATTCATAGAATTACTGGTGTGATGTGATTTACTTATATCCACAAAAGTAATATATAACGATAGTCAAGAATAGAGTGTATTTTAGTAGACGATCGAGAAGGAAAGAACGAAAACGGAAGGCAATTGTTATGAAATTGAATGAACAATGAAATTTAAGACGATGGACTGATATTTGCAAAAGAAACAGTCAAGTTTGAGATGACGGATTGATATTTTGTAAATGAACTATTTACTGTATGGTTCTCAGATTTTACTAAAATGTTCTGTAATTCTGTGTTCAAATGCACTCGGTTGCCCACACTCGTGTTGTTATTCACTACACTGGCATTGAATCAATAATTAGATATTGAAAATTCAAGAATATTATTTTAACTATATCATCATTGAAATTAATCATTAAATTGCCCAACTGGGGAAAAAAATTAGTTATATAATATTTCTTATTATGTTTATTATTGAAGTTAATTTATTTTCATGATTGTTTTGCAGTTCCTTTCTAGACTGTGTGTTTCTTAATAAAATAATCATTTTGTCCTCAAAGTTAAATGTTTCTAATTTACATACCATTTCATAACTCAAATGAAAAGTAAATGTATATAATACTCTAACGGTAAAATAAAGCAAATAGAATAGTCAGAAATTTCGTCTAAATTTGATCGTATAGTTTCACAGTAGGAGAGATGGAATATAATTAGCTGTCCCATGGCAACTAACTTTATTCCATTCTATCTATATCGTATTAACTAATTATGAAATATGAAATTCAACGGTTCAAATCAATTATCTTATCTGAATATGTTAATTGACTGGAACACTAAAATAACACAAACTTTCAATCACAAATACATTCTTCCTCTTTCAATTCATTATTTTATCTTGTTTATTTACCTTCATTTAATGCATGCTGTGACATTTTTAATTCATATCATATATCAGAAGCGGTTTGTGGAGATTTTTTAGAAATTTTCACAGATTGAAATCATGAGTCAATTGAAGCTAGACCACCATGGAAAACCTGGAAGCACTAGACGGCCGTTTCGTCCTAGTATGGGACTCCTCAGCGGTGCGCATCCACGATCCCGCACTCCGCTGGATTCGAACCCAGGACCTACTGGCTTCATATCATATATAAAAATTATATATTTTCTTAATATTCACCGACCGAAGACAATATATAGTGAATGAAATTTCTTCTTCTCACTTAGGTATACACATAATCTGTTATCTTAACACTTCGTTTCACATCACATGTCTGTTACACACTAATATAAATACCTACTTTAAACATTGTTAGCGTTGATTAGATGACTTATTCAGTAGACAGTAAACCGGAGAACCATGTACCTATTTATATTCGACAAAGTTGATGTTTGATTATATTTCTTTGAAAAAGCTTGGACCAGATTGCTAGGCGGAACGTTGGATTTACTTCAAATTCTTTCGATGAGATTTTACAAATACATTCTTCCTTTTTAAATAGAATGTGTTCCTTAATTCAATCACCGTTGAATGAATATGTACTGATTAGACTAATGGGTTTTTCTCTAAACTTTACCAGTAATTACATCGTTCTCTGTAACTATATGATATAAAGACATTGAGAAATTTTCGTGTTATAATTAATAGGACATCTCGATGCTGATCAATTCATTTCATTTAGTTCACCCAATTACTATTTCGACAACCATTCTTAAAATCAAAAATATCGTATAATTATCAAAATTATACTTCGTTTCTTTGTTATGTAAACTGAATTTCTATTTTATAGACATTTTAAATTAACTTCACTTCCTAGATTTCATCCTTATGTATATGTGTTTGGATAGATCAAATGTATTTATTTACTTACCCAGTAAACATTTATTATCCACTAACATAACCTTATACTCTTGTAATCAAACCATGACATTGTTTCAAACTGCGCTAATCATTAATGGCTTTTCTCGGGTCATTTTATGTTCTTGAAAACTATAGTAGTACTATGGATCAATCTTAATACTTATTGTTATAAGTATAAAGTATTCATAGTTTGCATCACGGACTAGTTTTATTTAAACAACCATTAAAAACAAGGAAGCGTTAAGAAGATATTCCGTCCTATTATCGGACTCCTCGTGGAAGCACCCTACTAAGGATTTCCATACTAGGATGTAGCAGCTTCTCAATTCTTTTTGGTTTTCAACGCCTGTCAAACTAAGATCAGTCCATGATGTAATTTATGAAATACTATAAGAACTTCCCACAGTAATAAACACTATTTAATTGGCGATGCTTCAAAGAATTAAAATATCATAATAACCCACACTTCGCTATCGAACAACTAGTCGGGTATTAAGAAAATTAAAATATTGATGTGAATTATGGCATATATATTTGATCTTGATTAAAAAAAAATATATTCTACCGTATCATTTCATTATGTATACTACAAAGGCTGACTTAAATGTGAATTTATTCGATTAGTCGCTTTTGTTCATGAATTACGAATGTAAAGCCACTGTCAACTGAAACTCATTCTGGTAATAAATACAAAGAAATCGACGATAACACTTTTTTATTGAATAAAACTTCAGTGACTAACACCCCAGTTTTCTATTTTAAAATCATATACAGTAGATTCAAATAACTCCTATGTACAAAGTTATTTGTCTTAGTATGATTATTGATAGAAGTCCATAGGTTCCTTTCATGAATATAATGATATGACTGTTGTTTAATATTTATATCGAATGATTACAACTTAAAGTTTTGCCTATTTCTCTTTCAGTTTTCATGCCTTCTTTTGTGATTGTTATTCGTTTATGTCTTCAAATAGTATGAATTTCAAGAATTAATGTTAACAAATAAATAACTGTTGACGAGTCCCATAATAGGACGAAATGGCCATCCAGTGCTTCCAGGTTTTCCATGATGGTCTAGCTTCAATTGACTTATGATCTCAACTAATAAAATGAATAACTGTTAGCTATATTTATGATATCGTTTACAAAATCCATTTTATTGTGTACAATTATTAAATTATATATAAGTGAAAGTAATATATTGAAGTGTTGTAATCGAAACCAGATAGTGAACAGCAAAAGATAGTCTAGTTTCAATGCATGTTACTTACTTCTCTACATTTGGATAGAATGAAGCTAAGGAGGTCAATTCATAACG